AAAAAAAGTCTTAAGAAATGATATCACTAAGTTGCTGAACTGCAGTTATAAGATACACATGCTCCCCAGAATAAATTTTTGTGCCCTCCTGGCTACCACTGGAGGTGAAATTTCATTTGGTCAAAAGTGGCCACAGCTGTTTCTTTCACATGTGAAATTTGCAACAAGACGAACAAGCAACTGTTTCATGCTGATAATATACCTGCTGTCTTGCAGATGATTTGCATTTCCAGTAGCCATTTTTTAAAACCACTTCCCTCCCCCAACTTCCATACTTCAGCTTTGTTTACATTTTCCTGCCAATAGTTTCGCTTTTTCCAGAAATCATAATTTGCCTATTCTTTTCTTTACTCTACAGTCCAGACCAAATTTTAAGAAAAAGTTGTTGGAGGAAAAAGTTCCTGGAGGAATCTAAATCAGAATAACACAAGCAAAGTATTCAATAAAAACAAATGCTGGATGTACTAAGAATTTATGGAGACAGAAATAGTTTGTATTTCAGGTCAACAATTCTAATAGAACTGGGAAAATTAGCCATTTGTTGGGCAAAAAAAGGAGAGAAACTCTGCTTCTGTCTCTCCACAAATGCTGACATATCAGAGTATTTCCAACAGTTTTTATTCCTGATTTCTTGCAGAAAAACAAACATATTGCAGATGCATGAGAAATTTCCTTCTGATTTGCATTGCCTTTAACAGAAATCAACTGAAATCATTTGCTCACTTTGTATAATGCTATCATTCACATCCGGTGTCCTATTCCAAACAGACGACCTTTATTGCTTGTCTTAATATTTTCTTTATCTACATCACTGTAGATATTTGAGGCTGAGGCGTACACATTCATATAACTCAGGTAATCAACAGGTATAGAGACTAGATACTAAAGCATAGTTAAAGCAAAAAGATCTCCCAGCATTGTACTGAATTGGGAGGGAAGCATCAACACCTTCTGGTCGACTCCTGCTTCTACTTCGTTTTTGTACGTTTCAATGCAATTTAAAAAAAGGACTTCTTCAATACATTTACCACTTTCCCTTCCTTAAGAACTACTGTGAATTAGGTTACCTTTATCCCATTCCATATTTTAATGTTCACAAAGTGAAAATTGTTAAATTATTGTTAAGTTTCCTCAGCAGTCTGGAATCATTCTCTATCCTCAACACGCTCCAAGATACTTGTTTCCCTATTCCACTCAGTACATTTTTTACTTTAGTTTATTTCTTCCATTCTTGTCTTACTTAGTTTCACTACTGTTTTTGGAAGGGTCTTTTATTTACTTACCACAACGTTGGCTGTACAGTATTTATCTCATTAATCACCCAGTACCAGTAGCAGGTCTCATGTTTAAAAGCAAAGGTCTGAGATTTCTGGTAAAGCATAGCTTTAAAATTCATTCAGATCTTTGCATTTGTTTAGCATGTTAAGATGTTTAACATAATGATGTTAGAGTAATCATGTCAGCTGAAATGAACATCAGTTTTTTTAGTAGCCCCAACAGTTCTTTTTGTCACACATTTTCTTTTAACTGCTAGAAAAATTAGCAGACAACTTGAAGACTTTGAACGGGAAGGTATATTCCCCCCTCAAGCTGTTTAAAGCAAAAACAGCAGCACCGTTTCTTAGCTATCTAGCTTTCCATGTTACTGTTGCTCAACTCGGTAGGCATTCGCTTACTGCAGTTTTAGAATAGAATATTGTTCTAGCACCTCCAAACTCCCTAGTATGATCATTCGCATTATTTTCTTACTACCTCTTATCTTAGCTTTTTTGTTGATCCTTGTTAACCTTGTGTTTTGTGAAGTAAAACAAATTTCCCTTTCTCCACTCTCAGATACAAGTCTTTTTCAGAAGTCATCACACCTCTAGATGGAGATAAATTATTTACACCTTTAAGAATTACTTTCTAATCAGATTTAGAGCTACAGAATTACAGTTGTACAGCCGGAAAGAGACCCTTCAGTCCTGCCCTTCCATGCCAGATATCCTAAAGTAATCTAGTTCCATTTGCCAGCACAACCCATATCCTTCTAAACCCTTCCTATTCGTATACCCATTCAGATGCCTTTTAAATGGTGTAATTGTACCAGCCTCCATCACCTCCTCTAACAGCTCATTCCATACACACACCACCCTCTTGCATGAACAAGTTGCTCCTTAGGTCCCTTCTACATCTTTCTCCTCCCATCTTAAACCGATGTCCTCTAGTTTTGGAATACCCCACCCTGGGAAGACGACCTTGGCTATTTAACGTATCCACACCCCTCACAATTTTGTAAACATCTGTAAGGTTACCCCTCAGCCTCCGATGCTCCAGAGAGAAAAAAAAACACCCAACCTTTTGCAGCGGATACAGTAGACCACATTAGCGGATGTGCAGGTGAACCTCTGTCTGATGTGGAAGGTTCTTTTGGGTCCTTGGATGGTGGTGAGGTTTTTTTGGGGTGGTGGGGAGGGTGGGGTGTAGCACTTCCTGCAGGCAAAGGTGCTGGGGCTAGTGGGGAATGGGAGGCCGAACCTATGCCTGCCTCTGCGTAGGATGCAAGGAACAGTGCCTCTTCCGCAGCTACGCGGGCACTATTCCCCACCTCTTACTCCGCTACAATCGATGACTGTTTTGGTGCCGCCTCGTGCTCCCACGAGGAGCTTGAACAGTTCATCAACTTTACTAACACCTTCCAACCCAACCTCAAGTTCACCAGGACCATCTGTGATACCTCTCTTTCCTTCCTGCACCTGTCTCCATCTCTGGTGACGACCTCAAAACTGATATCTATTTCAAGCCCACCGACTCTCGAGCTCCCTAGACTAAACCTCCTCTCACCCATTTTCGTGTAAAAATGCGATCCCCTACCCCCAATTCCTCCACCTCCGCCACACCTGCTCCCAAGATGGGGTGTTCCATTTCCGAACATCCCAGATGTCCTCTTGTTTCAAGGACCACATCTGCACCCCCCCGATGATTGAAAATGCTTTCGACCGCATCTCTTGCGTTTCCCGCACCTCTGTCCTCACACCCCGCTCCCCGCAACAAAAACAAAGACAGAATCCCCCTTGTCCTCATGCATCACCCCACTAACCTCCGGATTTAACGTATCATCCTCCGCCACCTGCAATCTGACCCCACAACCAAGGATACATCTCCCTCCCCACTCCTATCTCCCTCCATAGGGACCGCGCTCTCCGCAACTCCCTCGTCTGCTCCACACTTCCCACCACCCCCAGCACCTTTCCCTGCCACCGCAGGAAGAGCTACACCTGCCCCTAATCTCTCCCCTCACCTCCATCCAAGGACCCAAAAAAACCTTACACATCTGACAGAGATTCACCTGCACATCCGTTAATGTGGTCTACTGCATCTGCTGCTCCTTATGTGGCCTCCTGTACATCGGTGAAGCCAAGCGGAGGCTCGGAGACCGCTTCGTAGAGCACCTGCGCTTGGTTCGCGACAAACAACACCTTCCAGTCGCAAACCATTTCAACTCCCCCTCCCACTCCCTGGATGACATGCATCCTGGGCCTCCTCCAGTGTCACGACGACACCACCTGGAAACTGGAGGAGCAGCACCTCACCACCTTGGGAGCCTACAACCCAATGGTCTCAATGTGGACTTTACTAGTTTCAAAATCTCCCCACCCCCCAGCCTCAGCCCATGACTAACCCTCCCTCTCATCCCCGCCTCCTTTACCTGTTCGTCTTTTCTCCCACCTATCTGCTCCTCCCACCTCACTGACCAATCCCCACCACTGCCTACCTGCACTCACCTATCACCATTCCACCTACCTTCCCTAGCCCCACCCCTCCTCTCTCTTTATTTCAGAGTTCCTTCCCTCCCTCCCCCCCCCCCCCCCCCATCCCCCATTTCTGAAGAAGGGTCCCAACCCGAAACGTCAGCTTTCCTGCTCCTCTGATGCTGCCTGGCCTGCTGTGTTCCTCCAGTTCCACACTGTTATCACAGACTCCAACATCAGCAGTTCTTACTATCACCCAGCCTTTTCAGCCTGTCCACATAGCTCGAACCCTCCAACCCCGACAACACCCTTGTTAATCTTTTCCGAACCATTCCTACAGCAGGGAGACCAGAGTTGATCGCAGTATTCCAAAAGTGGCCTAACCAATGTCATGTACAGCCACAACATGCCACCCCAACTCCTACACTCCACGCACCGACCAAAAAGGCAAGTGTGCTATTTGACAAACATTCTATCAAGCCCAAGCACAACTAATGGTTTGGCTCAAAGTATAGAAGATAAATCACTCTGCATTTGAAAATCCTTTGAGTCTCAGTCTTGCTCCACAGTAGAAGTTATTTGGATGAACAATATGCTACCTTTGATCAATGGAGTCAAATGCAATTCCCAATTATGCGATCAAAGCAAGGATGTATTGTTACCTCTTCAATTGATATACACAGGATAGTACAACATGCATCAGCTTATAGTTCTTCCAAGTTATCAAAACCAAATGTGTTTAACCACAAGTGTTTCTTTTGGTTTTTCCACGTCCAGCTGTACTGATGATTCAAAACAGATTTTTTTTTTTTTTTTTTTTATAAAAATGGCACAGTGGCATGTCACAGCACCAGAGTTCAATTCTAGCCTTGGGTGACTATCTGTGTGGAGTTTGCACATTCTCCCCATGTCTGCATGGGTTTCTGCCAAGGTGCTCCAGTTTCTTCCCACTGTCCAAAATGTGCAAGTTCATTGGACTGGCCATTCTAAAATGACCCTGTAGTGTCCAGGGACATGCACGCTGGGTAGATTAGCTGTGGTAAATGCAGGTTCCAGGGATGGAGCTGATTTTGCGTGGAAGGTTGTTCAGAGGGTTGATGAGGACTCAAATGGGCCAAATGGCTTCTTTCTGCACTCTAAGGGTTTATGATCTGGCATGATTTACGTAATATATTACAGCCTACAAATTATTACAATCGCTACTGAGGACACCAATCAAAAATGGAGACATTTAACTTAATTAGCTGCAAAAAGGAAATTCGTTCTCACCTCTGAGTCAGAGTCCGAGGAACTAGAACTTGATGAGCTGGAGGAATCACTTGAACTGTCTGATGCAATACCAGTAGACTCCTGCAGGTCAACCAAATCTGCTGCTACAGCAAGTTCCGGGCGTTCTTGCTTCAAAATCCTACAAGAATACACAAGCAGAAAAAGGTTTGATTCGTCGCAGTGGAGCAAACTAAAAATAAGTCCAGAGTTTGCAGTCAGTGACAAGGGGATCCTTGATCAAGGAGGAAGCTGGCAAGATAGGTCAAGCGATCCTTGTAGAACAAACTGAACCTACCCTACGTCAGCTTACTACCACTGCTAGCTATTGGGGAGGCTCCCATTAGCTCTGATTTCATGTCGGAAAAAATGAACAAATCACAAGAGAATTTTGATAGGCAGTAAACTGGTTTTACCATTTAAAAACAAAAAACAGAAAAAGCTAGTGAAACTCAGCAGGTCTGGCAGCATCTGAGGAGAGAGAAAGAGAGAGTTAACCACTTGAGTCCAATGACTCTTCTTTGGAACTGAAGGGAGTTGGTAAGTGATAGATTTTTTGTTGACGAAAGGGGGAGGAAGAGTGGGGGGGAAAACAGATTGTGAGGGTGCCCATAGTCCCAGGATGAACTCTCACTTTGCAACAGTATAAATACAGTTTTCTAGCTTCTTTGTTTCTCAACAATCTTTGGACTTGAAACATGAACTCCATTCCTTTCTTCACAGATGCTACCAGACCTCAAGAGTTAATAGCATCTGCAATATTTTGCTTTTTATTTGTGGTTTTATCACTTAAATTTCACAATTTTACTGGAGTTGAAATAAAAATTGGGCCACATACATGGAAAAATTGAGCCAGGTTCAACTTAGAAGCTGATTTTCAAGATTGAAAATTAATTTTTAAAGATGTATGAATTTTCATTATGAAATTGAGAAATCAGTTATTAAACCAGTTTTTCAAGTTAAGAGATCTTGTCACGTAACATTTATGAACACAGTATGACAAGAACCTCAGTTACATCTCATTTTAAATAAACATCAGTTTTTCCAAGAGTTTCCCTGTTAGAAATCAAGCAACTCAGCAATACTCAAATCTGTGTTGTCTGTATTTCTCAACCACTTACTATCCTAATAGGCTTAAGGCAATTTATGTATCGTAACAAAACTGAAATGCAAAACAAGGAAAATACAATTTTCCCATCAGTAACACTTCGCACACATGTGCTATCACTGACCCACCATAAACAATCAATACCAATAGCCTGTTGCACTTCATAAAATTAACTCTCATGCTGCGATTACCTGTACCACTTTCTGGATAGTTTAGGTCGCCCCCTAACTGTTTTATGCCAAACAACCGGAAAGTTGGTTGCACTGGCGAAGTTCTGAGTAACAGCAATAGTGTGATCCATATTGAGTACTACATGCCACCATCCACCTGAAAGATAAGAATTGTATGTAAGGAAATCATTTCTAAATCTCAATAAATTTTCAATCATCACATAACATGGGGGTATGTTATAGAAACATATAAAATTATGAAGGAAATGGAGAAGATAGCAGCGAGGTTGTTTCTACTGGTCGGTGAAATTAGAACTAAAGGGCATAGCCTCAAAATAAGGTGGAGTAGATTTAGGACTGAGTGGAGAAGGAACTTCGTCACCTGAAAGGTTGCGCATCTGTGGAAATCCCGGACCAGTAAAGCAGTGGAGGCTTCCTCTGAATGTTTTTAAGGCAAAATTAGATTTTTGAACACAGTAAAGGAATTAAGGGTTACAGTGAGCGGGCAGGTAAATGGAGCCGAGTCCACAAAAAGATCAGTCATGATCCTACCGAACCGCGCAGCAAGCTCAATGGGCTGGATGGCTACTCCTGCTCCTATTTCTCATGTTCTTATTAACGTACATAAAACATGTACATAATCAAGTCCTCACTTTGCTACAACTTGATGAAAAATGTTAGCTTTCTCAGCACAATCTGTCCTCAAATGAGGAACCCAAATCTTCCAACTTCAAGAATCGATACTGTCAAACACTGTGCAAGCCAGTATCCTTCAAGGTTCTATCTCCACACTGAGAATTAGCATACCACTGCCCTATGCAACTTGTTCCAGATCAAACCTAAATTTAAGGAAAAGACCATCCAGGTGGATTCTTATAATCTAGCTGTGCATTAGCTGCAGTAGAGAGCAAAAAAAAATTTAAACTTAATATTATTCTTCCAATATACTGCAGAACTAATTCATGCTCCCATGAGATCAAAGCTGAAGGTGTAGGGGGCAGATAGCACTGTTATGTGCATTCTGAAAAAGCCCACAAGGAAGATCAGGAAAATGAAAAATGAGTGAATGAATGAGTGTGGAGGTATTCTTTGGAAAAGAAAAAAATTGCTTAGAAGACAAGTGACTATGGAGAACCCATCACATAATACTAGACGATTCTAACTTTCCCCTTTAGACAAATGTCTAAATCCCTAAGAAATGTGATTACTGTGTGCAGGCCTTCAGATTCTGAGGGCCAGAGAGCAGCTGAAATCATGACCAAAATGATTTAAGTCAAGCTAAAATTCTGAAATCATTTTGAAAGAATGAGAACATTAATCCAAAACACGGTAACAGAGGAGGAAGTTATAATTTTGTATCATCTAAAAGCAACAATATCATGTTTTCAATCAGAAATGATGCTCGTGTATCATAAGCAGAGTATTAACCCCGCTTTGTAACTAAACTTATCCTTTAAAAAAAAAGTCACCTGGCACAAAGACAGTCTCCCCTGGCTTCTGAAGGATTTCTAAAGGCTTAAACTCCTGGGGCCATGTCAGTTGCTGTGTCCGAGGGTAGACAATGACAAACCATGTAATCGCCTCATCTTGTTGGTTTCCACCTTCTTCCCTGGTTATCTTGATAAGTTCACGTGGTGTATTTGTAGGGAACAAACACCAACGCTTGTGACCCTGAACTAAAGCATTCCATGCACTTGTTCCTAAAGGATCAATATGGACTCCAGTTCCAGACCTTGGAGGGCCCATGACAAACCATCTAAGAAGATAAAACATTGGTATTATTGTTACATTTACTCTTCTAAAATATAATACCAAGTTTTTGTCACTGCCAACTGCAATGTTATTCGTAATCAAAATACATTTTTTTAATGTTCTTCCTCTGCAGGTATGGTGTCTTTGCTTTCCTCTTCAAACAAATATCCAAGCAGTTAAGAGCATAATGTTTCAATCATCTTCCACTTCGCATCCAGTTGTATATATGCCTATGCCTTGTGCCAATTGCTGAAAATTGGCAATTCATACAAGAATGAGGATGCAATATTAACTCATCTTGATCAGGGTATTAACTATCCAAAACTTTACTGCTCACATACCATCCCACACCGAATCTCACTCACTAGCCCTGTTGACCTCCGCCTAGTCTTTATCCCAACACATTAAATCAAACTTTTTATCCTATTTATAAATCCTTGAATGGCCCTGTAACTCTCACATGCTCCACTTTTTATCCCGACTTCCCGTCCTATCATTTTCTGACTTATTCCATTCACATCCCTTGGTACTCTGCTCCGAGTATCAGAGCCTTCAATCTTCACTACTGTTTTCTCTGGAATTCACTTCTGAAATCCTATGGTTCCAACCGGTCTTCTTCAGAAAAAATGAATATTTTGAAAAGGCATAAATGACTTATTCAGATCTAGAACTATTTACTGGTGTTCATTACTACTACTCTCTTATGAAAACCATGCTGGTATTCTTCCTTAAAGATGATACGCAAGATCAAGTTCTTGTCTCTTCTTTTGAAAGTAATTGTCAACAATTCCCTAAAACACAATTTAATTGCAGACAACTGAGCTTTTCTGGAGCGGCCGACAGAGTTCTTAGTATTCTGTTGCATTCTGGGCTCAGGCAGATTATGAACTACTTAATTATTCTAAGGATCCTTTGTAGACTATGTTCAATTATTCTTGTTGTAATTCCAAGACAGGAGACCAAAATACAACAGGACAGTTGGTGCCGAAAATTAAGATGTCGCTAGATGCAGAAAAGCATGATCTTCTTCGGCTGAGGTCTTAGGTATATTTTTGGGACGAAGTAGAGTTTTGTGCACATTTAACTGCATTATAATGTTGATGTTGACACCGCATGCCTCAAAACTGAAGAATACCCTTTTCTAACATTTCTCAGCTTGCTGAGTACAGTTTACAAATAAGCAACACCTACTTGCCACAGATTTTAAGCCAAGTTTGTCCACGTGATCACATTGAAAAGCAAAATCTGTTTTCTCCTATGGTATCAATACAGGTATGCTGATTCAAGTGGAATGAATAGAAATGTAATGAGATACTTGACAAGTAGATGGGATAGGCCATTTAGATTTGAGATGAGGAGACATTTATTCACTACGTACTGGTAAGGCTGTGAAATTCTCTGCCATACAAAAAGTGTTTGAGGCCAAAACATTTAATATTTTCAGGGAATCTGATATAGTTCTTATGTTTAAAGGGATTCAAAGCTAGGTGAGAAAACAGGAACAGGGTACTGAGTTAGATGATCAGCCATGATCATATTGGATGGCATAGCATGCTCAAAGGCATAAAAAGCATACTCTTTCTCCTATTTTCTACGTTTCTATATGGAAAACAGCATGGAGTTTTGGGCATTTTCTTAAAATTTTGATTCCGTGCATCTCTCTAAATATACAATTTTTATTGGCTACTTGGATGAAGATGTTAAAAGGGCAATTCTATGAAAAGTTCTGTCATAGTGAAAGGTTTATTTTGAAAAATTCTGACAATCCAATGTACACAGCATAACTCATTACGAATAGTGTTAAAATGTTAAGACAGTCTTTGTTTTGTTTCATAAAACAGAACATTTATTACCACTCAGCTAGATGGATGACACGTCACAGAAGTACTGTTCTACATTAAACCCTACTTTAGTCGAATGGAATGTTGGTTTCTAGGATTCCAAAAGAGCTCTCCAACTAAGACCTTTTCTACATCACTAGAAATTCGCCATGGAAGTTGTGGGATACAAGAGAAGACACTGTGTTTGCTCTTGGACCAACACTACAGCTTTCCAGCAATTAATCATCAAGGTTGGCAGTTTAAGTGCTGTTACCTGTATGGAGGTCTCCGCTTTTCCCCTGCAAACTGGAATAAATCATCCTTAAAATACTTTGGCACTTCATAATCCTCTAATAGTTTCTTCCTTTTAGGGTGTTCCCCATAACTGCTATCAAAAATGTAAAGAGGACTATCATCTTTTGTAGTTTCCATGTAGTCAGCATAATACTTCATCTTCATTTTAACAGAGTAGCCATCATTGTCTTCACCACATTTAAATTTTTGATTTCTGTACTTGCGCTTTAAGCGTTCTAAAGTCCACTTTTCATGTGCTGCCCAACCAAGTTCAGCATTTAACACCACCACAGGCTTATATGGTTTTTCATACTTCTCAATGAATTCTTCAACTGATGTCTGGAGGGCATCTATCCTTTCTACATTATCCTGTAATAAAAGGAAAAATACATTCAACATAAATCTTTTGACTTTGGAAACGTTGGCAATGATAAAATCCAGATTGAGCCATTGCAGGGAAGCAGCCATAACTCGGGCGATACGAGGACTCACAGCGGCAGGGTTCAATTCCAGCCTCGGGCGTCTGTGTGGAATTTGCACATTCTTCCCTTGTCTGTATGGGTTTCCTCCGGTTTCCTCCCACAGTCCAAAGACGTGCAGGTTAGGTGGATTAGCTTTAGAAAATGGAGGGTTACAAGGATAGGTACGAGGGGGAGTCTGGGTGGGATGCTCTTTGGACAGTCAACGTGGACTTGTTGGGCCGAATGGCCTGATTCCACATTGTAGGATTCTATGATGACATACATCTCCCAGAAAATTGAGAAATTATAGATTTCTTGTACTTCAGTAACTACCTTCCATGAAAACAAAACAGAGCTTTAAATATCATTCAAGCAAGTGAAAAGTTATATCGTTTCCACCAAGGTACATGCAATTCTCTTGTACCTAATTTTAATACGCATTTTCCTTCCATCACCTGCAATTTATTAGTGCACCAAATTAAGAATACTGGATTGTAACTTGCTATCTATTCATTGCTATTGATAGATTAATTTGTGATCTGGCTATTAGTTATAAGTTATCCCACAACTGCAATTTATTTTTTAAGATACATAAAACTTTTCTTAGTTAATATCTCCATTAATTGAATCTAGACTTCTGACTGTAGCTCTAAAACCTCTTCCAATGTTGTCCTGCATGGATAGAGTGTATAATTACACGAAACACAAAGACAGTGTCCTCTTGCAAATGAGCTGTTTTCCCCCCTCCCCCACAACTGTCTTTAACTCACCTTATAAATCATCTTGTGAACACCGTATCATTGAATTCAAAGTGTACAGACTGCACCACAACACGGTTCTCAACAATCACCTGTATAGATAATTAACTCTTACTGAAGTTGTTCGCATCTAGAAATGATTGTGTCAATCCATATTAGAAAGGATGAATAGACTGAATGCCTCAGTTTGTACTGGTGCTCTAATATTCTGCAATTTTGGTACTCTCCCTAATTACTAACATCAAAATAACATTATGTCTCGTTTAATACCATGGCAGTACACAACCAGATGTGGCAAGTTATAGAGTAGGATCCCAGTTCGTTAACCAGTCTATTGGCTACTACCATGCGAAGACACCAAAAAGAAATGAGAATATTTTGCATTGGCTGCTTTTGTTTCCATACTTAAAACTGATGGGCTATTTAAAATGCTTCCAGTTACTTTTATTAAAGATGCTTCATCAACTGGGCCAGGTAGTGAAATCGTTATGTTACTAAGCTCATAAGCCAGAGGCCTAGACAATTAATTACAAGAATTAGGATTTAGATCCTATGGAGCTTGGAGAATTTGAATTCAGGTTTGCAAAATTTGGAAAAATATCTATTCAATGCTTCCTCTAAATTCTCTTTGCATACAGTCCATTGGTTGTAACTCCAAGCCTGAAGACCAACTCTGGTTCAATGAAGAATGTAGAACTGCATGCTAAGAGCAGCATCCAGTGCAACTTGATGAGCATTCATTGCCCTAAAAAAATTTGCAATACAACAATAAATCCATTAGCTTTATGCTGGTGGGTATGCTGCATACAAGCCTATCATGCAAAGTTTTAGTGCTGTGCCCCTACCATAGAATCATGGTCTTACAGCACAGAAACAGGCCCATCCATGCTGACCGGGTTTCCTAACCGAACTCGTACCACTTGCCTGCAATCCCTCCAAACCTTTCCTATCCAGGTGCCCGTCCAAATATCTTTTAAATGTTGCAATTGTACACACCTCTATCACTTCCTCTGACAGCTCATCCCATATTCACACCACCCTCTGCAAGGAAAAGTTGGCCCTCAGGTCCCTTTCAATTCTTTCCCCCTCTCACTTTAAAACTAAGCCCATTAGTTTTGGACTTCCCTACGCTGGGGAAAGGGGCATTTCCCTTACCACCTACCTCTCTCATTCTAAGGTTGTTATGAGATCTGAAGTTAAGTGGTCCTTTTGCAATACAAGCTGAGGATTGGTGAGTAGCATATTATCAAAAGAAAAGAGCAATTACTAATGCCTAACATTTTGCCAATTGAGTAGGCTAAAGGGCTGTAACTGGCCGAGTTAAATTTGTTTAGATTTAGGAGGACATGGTGTAGCTGGGCAATTTAACATATTGTCAGGGAAATGCCACTACATCTATACTGGAACAGGTTAGATAGATGTCAGCACAGATTTTCAGCAGCTCGTTTGGGAAGAGGTTGGGCCCAAAGCCCTTGCTGCATTCAGCAGGCTTGACCCCTTCTTATTGTATGAAGATTTAACTGAACTATAAATTAGCACCTGTGGCTCATGCTGATCTCTGCTATTGTTGAAGATTGTTCCATCTCGTGGAGCCTCCTCTGACGTTTTTTAAAAAAAACAAACATTCTCTTTCTTGGGATGGGCAGCACAGTGGCTAGCACTGCTACCTTACAGCATCAGGGACCTGCGTTCAATTCCAGCCTTAACCAACTTCCTGTGCAGAGTTTGCACATTCTCTGCTGTGTCTGCGTGGGATTCCTCTGGGTGCTTCCCATTTCCTCCCACAGTCCAAAAATGCGTAGATTAGGTGGATTGGCCATGATAAATTGCCCATAGTATCCAGGGATGTGTAGGCTAGGTGAGTTAGCCATGGGAAATGCAGGGCTACAAGGACAGGGTAAGGGGGGTTGTTCTGGGTGGGATGGTGTGGACTCAATGGGCCAAGTGACTACTTCTATACTGTGGGAACTCCACAAAGGTCACTAAGCAGGCCAGCATTTAATGCCCATTTCCAATTACCCTGGAGATGTTAGTGAGTTGCCCCCTTGAACTGCTGCAGTCCATATGCTGCTGATACATCCACCATGTAGTTAGGTAGTTGAACATTTTAATCCAGTGACATTGAAGGAGCAGTGAGAATTCCAAGTCCTAATGGTGGGTGGTTTGGAGGGAAACTTGCAGGTGGTTTTCCCATATATCTGCTGCCCTTGACCTTTGAGATAATAGTGGTCACAAGTTTTAGGAGGTTTTGTCAAAGGAAGGTTGGTGAGTTGCTGTATTGTGTTGATACACACTGCTGTCACTGTATCTGTGGTGGCTCAGGTCAACAGGATGCCAAAAATCAGGCTGCTTTGTCTTAGGTAGGGTTAAGCTTTGCGAATATCATTGGAGCTGCACTTCTCCAGACAAATTGGGAGTTCCCATCGTACTCCTGATTTGAATCTTGTCGATAGTGGACTGGTGTTAGGAAGTCAAGAGGTGAGTAATTTATCCATTTCCTTTTCTAACAAGTTGTAGCAGAGTTACAAAGGTTGCTGGACAAGTTGCTGCACAGGACTACAAACAAATGCTACTGTCAAAATAAAATGAAAATCATCAAGTTTTGGGTCCTGACCCGAAACATCAACTAGCCTGCTCCTCCGATGCTGCCTGGCCTGCTGTGTTCCTCCAGCTCCATAATGTGTTATCTCAATACTGGTCACCCTGCCACAACTCTTCAGGGAGATTTTTCTTAAACTTAAGGCTTGGAGGGCGAAAGATACTAGTATTGAAGTCTGAATGAAGCATTCAGCAAGAGATGAGCTGAGCAGGATGAAGACACGTGCTGAAATGAAGGTTGAAGCAAGCAGTCTTAATGATTAAGATGTGGGCTTGGAGCTCAGCTTAGGTTAAATAGGAGAACGATGTGTCAGCCAGCGAAGTGTGTTCTTTCAAATTGCAGTTCATTAGTACTGGCTATCAAAAATAAATTACAAACTTGTAAAAGATGCACTGGAAGAGTCAAGAGGTGGTGAGACTGAGCTGCGTGTTACTAATGTATCTATGGAATTGGTCATTATATATTCAGATGTTGCTGACCCAAAGGAACTATATAGGTGAGAAAGGATACGTATCAATGGAGCTCAAGAATCAACAATGCACCACACAAAAACAAGACAGGGTGCAAGTATCCCTAGCTAGGTGGATATAAGTAGAGCCAGAGAAATCTCACTTAGCTGGGGCAACTGAAGAGAGGCATTCTTGTACAAGGACCAGAAAAATAGTTTATGCAACTAAGTTTATCAGACCAAGAGTTAAGTCTATTGGCAACTGGAGCTTGCAGAGCACAAACTTCAAAGATATTGGTTCAGGGCACAGTTGCAGTCTTCTGGCTGGGATTCTGCTATAGCTGTTCCAATGAGATGGTTATGGACCAAGTGTTTGTTTATAATGGCAAGTTAAGAAGTGCAAATAAATGGAAAAGACTTAAGGAGATAGCTGACTATAGACTAACTTCACAGTCCATAATGATCATAGTCAAAGAGTTTTGCCAGACAGCAGGACAGGTCCTGAGTGACCCAACTCAGGCAAACAAGTTGTGTACCATACATGTGTGGAGGAGTTATAATGGCAAAATTGAAGCAATCTGCATTGTAAACAGGACATGAGTCTTCGACTGATGCAGCTATCCTCAAGGTAACAGCCTTGAATCTTTTAAGAGTGGAACTTAAACCAAACAGATTGTGGAACTTTATATACACCAATTGCCAAATTGATTCTCCAGCTCAAAGATTTTATGTACATTTGGACAAGCTAACAGTTGAGAAAACATGGTTCTGTGTTACAGAGTTAATTCCATCCATCCTAAAGTTCTTCAGATGGATAACTATTTTTAAGCATAGCTGACAGGTCACGTTAATGTAAAATGACACTGGCCAACAAGTTAGCTCTCTTACTGGATAGATTAAAATAAGCACCGAATAAACAGATCACGGCCACTAACACAACGCTGATTATGTTGACTTTTGACTTGCGGGACTGTACACCCTCAAGGCCAAATAATT